GAAATTAAATGAAATAAAATTAAACAAAAAATAAAAACAAAAAATTATATAAATGAATAAAATATAAAAGGAATTAAAACAACAAACTAGGGTGGATAAACGGGTTATGGGACCCACGGTAAGAACGAAGTTCTTTAAACATGACATGAGTATAAAAACACAATTTCTCAGGTAACAAGGGGGTCACCAGACTCGTAGGAAGAATGAAACTCTATAAACGTTAGTACTGCATTCATGTAGTTCACTAAAAAAAAACTTGAACAACGAATAAAAAAAAATAGTTCAGTACTCACGATGGTTGAACTTCGTGAGAACGTCACGCATAAATACAGTACTCACGAAGTTCAACCATCGCGATTACTGAACTATTTTTTTTTTATTCGTTTTTCAAGTTTTTGTTTAGTGAACAACACGAATGCAGTACTAATTTTTATAGAGCTTTGTTGTTCCTATGGGTCTGGCGACCCCCTTGTTACCTCAGAAATTGTCTTTTTATACTCATGTCATATCTGAAGAACTTCGTTCTTACGGTGGGTCCCATGACCCATTTGTCCCCCCTGGTTTGTTGTTTTAATTCCCTTTATATTTTATTCATTTATATAATTTTTTGTTTTCATTTTTTGTTTAATTTTATTTCATTTAATTTCATTTTTTTTTTTTCACATTTCATTTTTTTTTTTCATATTTAATTTAATAACTTTTTTTTCTTTTTTTTCTAAAAATATAAGCTCTTGAGGGAAAATAATAGCTTGAAATGTTACTATTATCATGATTTACCTACGAACAAGGTATGGCCATTAAATTGTAGGGTATGCAGATACTTTATATTGGTAGAAATATGTAAGACATTTTTAATTTAATTAAATGCGGTTAAAGGGTACTTCTAAGGTCCCTTGGAATCAAAATAACAGTTCTTTGCATTTTGTAACATGGTGCACTAATGGAAGACATCTCAAAAAGATTGTTTTTGACTTGTTATTTGACGCTCTTCAAGTTAAGAGCTTAACATTATATGCAGGTTTGATAGAACCTGGTCTATATAGTGTCTTAAAGTTAAAATAATTTTTTTGAGGTTATGTTCAACTCCAATAATTGAAAAAAAAGTTCTTTTTAAAAGTACTGTAAGACTGTATACTTACAAACTTTTTTAGATTTAGTTTATAAATAGAACGTGAGAAAAAAAAGAGGTGAGAAAGCATCATGTTTAAGGCCCCGTGGAGTAAAAATAATAGGTTTTCGCATTTTTAAACAGGAAGCACCATTGAAGAAAATCCAAGAAAATAGGTTTTTGACTTATTTTTGGATGCTTAACAAGATGAAAAGTATATATTTCATGCAAGTAACATAAAACCTAGCCAAAATTGTGCTTTAAAGTTAAAACAATTTTTATTGAGGTTATGTTCAACTCCATTCATAAAAAAAAAAAAAAATACAAAAAGTAATAAAAAATTGTATTGTGTAACTTAAAAAGTTTTCAGATTTATTTTATGATTAAAACGCGAGAAAAAAATCAAAACGTTAAGAAATATGTTTTTGGGCCCTATCAGAACTCAAAAAAGTTTTTGGGACCTACAACCTGGCAAATGCTTCATTTGAGGCCCCCGTGAAATAATTTTAGTCTATATAGAAAAAAAAAAGAGCGCATTTTACGTCCCAAAACCGAGGGTACCCTTTATACAAATACAAGAATTTATCATTGACGAAACAAACAAAAAAAAAACACACTATTATGCAATAATCAACAAGTGGGAAGACCAGTTAAACTTCATTATACTTAAAAAAGTCTTAAATGTTTGTCACGAGATAAGTATTATTGAAGATGATAATGTTTACAGAATTTGTGTATACGCACGTGTGAACGAATCTGAATACATTTGTCCGGTTTCTAACTAATGTTTTTACTAAGCACCAAAGTGCTATGGACCAAAATTTGTTCAACAATAAGTATGCATACCAAGGGAATGAACACTGAACTGACTTAAAATCACTCTTTTTTTTAAATGGTTCAACGGCAATCACGCGAATGAGGGTCGTAACGAGTTTCGTAAAGAAGCTTTTGTGAACAAGTTGCGAATGCTATTTTTCCACCCAAAAACCCAAAATCAAGCAGTAAGGGTGCTACTTTGAGGTTAGAATGTGGATGGATAAAATTCTTTTTTTTTTTGTCTTACAAAAATAAGTGACAAAAAAATAATTAGCTTTATATTTTTTTATACGAACAAAACGTGAGTACAACATGAATAACTATAACATCGCATAAATACATTTGGGTTTTTAACAATTGCAGTGTTAAATTAAACGAATCATTATATTTTACGACGTATCTTATGTAACATTAATTGTATTTAAATATTTGTTGCTACATTTCGTGACCTTGTAAAACAAATGTCTTGTTGACTATGTCATACTGTACTTATTTTATTGAACTAAACGCTGACTATAAGATTATTACATAAATAATAAGATAATTTCTTCCATGTAATGGGATGACAATACATAGCTCTAAAAACCACATAATTTTTACAAAACCACATGGTGGTTTGAAACAAAAAATGACATATAAACGGAGTGGAAAAACATCATGTTTCTATGTGTTTTTTTTTATGTGGTTGTACGATGTGGTTCTTCGATATAGTTATTTTCAAAAAGACCAAGCATTTTTATTTCCATCTTATTTTTCCTTGTGTTTACAATGTTTCGAAAAAATGTTCTTAATAATGTTAGAACATTGCATTGCATTAAGACAACTATGCTCATTTTCAGCAGAATCAGATGAGAAATTTGAATAATTTTTTGTTCTTCTCTCTTTTTAGAACAAATGTACTTAAACAGTATCATAATAAGGATTTTATCTTGACATTACCAGATAATAAAGAAATTCAAGATATAAAGTGGTTTGCAGTTTATGATTTATCGACACAGGTAAGTCAAAACTTTCGCCATCAAAATTTGAACCCTAATCCAATAGCTGAAATGTCTGTATTTTCTTAACAGTAATTTACTAAACCAATAAGCTAAAATATATGTTTAAACATAAGTATTTAGATAATGTGTTCAGTATATTTTTATCCTTCAAAATATATTTAATAGTAGTAGTTTACTCGTAGTTTCTTGTGAGCATTATCGAAAAATACTGCTACCTTCGTTTAAAGACGCTCAAAAATTATTAAATATTTACGTTTATTTTGAGCCAACTGTCTAAATAATACCCCGATCTAGTAAACAGTGTAATATATTGTAAAAGATGTAAACACATTTGATGTTTCCTGTTTTGTGTTTAATATACAAAAAAAACTGCTATCCATCTGTTACCACGGCATAAATTTTGTGCGAATTTTTAAGTACAAGCAATGACAGTGCTCGTCTTACAGTTTTTGTAATAGCTAGCTAAACAAACGTTAAAAAAATTATATACATATTTCCACGTTATTGAGTTGTTAAGAAAGGTCATATCACACTTTCCCCTGCACCACCCCACAGCCTCCACTACACCCTTTTGCCACCTAACGCTTCGCTGCAGAATAACAGAAAATTCCGTTTATTTTTACATTATTTTGAACCAATACTAATCCTTGTCATTTTTTTGTATCCCCTAAGCCACCCACTACAAACTCGCACATTTTTAAGTGATCAACCATAGTCCCTCTGTTATTCCTAATACTATATTCGTAACATATGTCACGCTTCCAGCACCCCTTACTTTTTAAATGAATTTAAAAAATGTATCCGTTATTTAAAAGAAATAAAACTGTTCTACATACCCTTTAACCTCACTGCTTAAAACATGCATAGAACCACTACTATCTTTGGCTGTATATTGTTATTTATTTTTTTTATTAAACTCATTATTTAATATAAACTTTTGTAAGTAATGAGTTTCAGGAGCATTAGTCTTTTTTATTGTTATAATTACTTCTTCTTTGCGTAAGATTTGAAATGAGTGTAATTTTAAAACGTATCATCATCATACACATTTGTTACAACTCAAAAAGTAAACCAATGACGGAAACTGTGGTATCACCAGTAGTTCTACAAAACCACAAAGAATTTTTGGATATCAAATTATTAAAAGAAAAATCAAAACTATTAATTGTCATAGTAGTCCATTTATTCTTTGTAATTTTGTTCAGTTTTACTAATTTATTTAATTTCTATGCATTTGCTTGATATGTTCTTTTTATCTTATGAAACCATTCTGTCTTTGACCTATAACTTCTTATAAAAACATACTAAAAAAACAACTATTAAATGTGTTAAACTCATCCTTGTTAGGAACTATTATTTGTATTAAATGAGATTTTTAGCACAACAGTTGAAAAATTTTTTTTTTTTAAATAGTTTTTTTTCAACTCATTCAGAGTTATTACATGAATGAATTAATTTTGCTCAAAAAAAATTAAATGTACGATTTAATTTGAACAAACGGTATAGATAGCTGTATTGAATTAAAATTTTTACATCAATAATTTTTAACAAAATTGTAACATAGTAAGATTTTATTATGTTATGGAATACTTCACTATCTAATAATTATGTTATAATTAACACACGCTTTTTAATTTTGTTCATTTTATTTTATTTCGAAGCATGTACTTTCATATTATTTTTACATATAAGTTGCATAGAGCAGGGGGCGTAGCCACTTTAGTACAAACTATTAAGTAAATATTGAATAAATACGCTAGTTTTACACGTGTGAATGGAAGTTGGATAGGAAATAAGGAAAGAGGTTATGGTGGTACGAAGTCAGAAGCAAGCTGGAGAGCGTAGCACGTTGTTGTGACTCTGATAAGAGTGCTACAATATACTTCATAGGCACCTAGCCACGAGATACTTACTCTTCAATTTAGAAATTCTTTTAATCTAATAATCCTGTACGTAATTCACTTTTTTAAATTTTATTTACTAAACATTTATGATAATAATTCAAAATACGTATTACAAGTGTTACTTTGGACATGTCGTTTATTCAGTACGTATTAATTTTTTTTTTTTTAAGAATAAAGTTAACAAAATTACAAAAGGGATACATAAACAGTGCCAGAATAAAGTTATGTAAAGGAAAGACTCATGAATGGTTTTGACGAATTTGAGAACTTTGTAGAAAATCAGTTAGTGAAAACTTTACGCTAACTTCGCACAATGAACAAGCAAGCAGCTGCGTCAGCATTAGCAGAAATTTACTGGCAGAAGCAAAGACGTACTAAGAAAAAGCAACAATTTGAAACTGAGTTAGCACAATTATCATTAAAGATCCAGGAGCTACAACGTTTTTTGAGTTTCACTACTGCTAACAAGAACGTTGTAGCTCTTGAATCTGTTGTAACAGCAAGTGATGTGTCAAAAGGAAATCAGGCATAAGGAGGAGCCCTGTTAGACATCTCAATAATTTTGGTGGCCTTAGGAGAAATTATAAAAGGCAAACGGATATCATTGAACAAGTTAATGCAGCAAACGAAAGAAACCCACAGAATAGAGCTTCTCTGATTGCCAACATACAAGATACTGTAACTAAATTTCGTGGAATTGAAGGTCTAGAGCAATCAAGATCATGGATTACTGAATAAAAAAATTTAAAAATTTTACATAGTTGCGTCTAAAAGAAGGAGCATTTAAATGGTTCATGGCGAAAACCAAAGTATCACCACGTTTGGAGAGTTCAAAAAAAGTTCTACTTTTACGTATGCACGCACGTATACCAAAAAGCTCAAAAATATGGTAGAACGTACTTAAGATCTACGTGAAATCTTAGAGCATTATTTATTAGATAACATTTGGCGCTGTAATGGATTAAATTTTCTGGCAAAGGAAATCATAGAAGGAGTTGCTGCTGGAATTTATTCACTAGAGTTGGCTCAATATTTATGAGGAAAGCACTATATATCAACCAACAAAATGGTTCAAGATTCCACCAAGGTTGAGAAAATTCATGAAAGTCGTTGGGAGCGTGCTCTTGAATGTCAAAATATAAACAACAGAGATAATCAAGAAGTGTTACCTTGGTATGAAAAACCAACGAATTCCGAGAAATGGTCTACAAAAAAGGAGAACTAAACAAAGGAACAGGGAGCAAAGAAAGTAATAGAACGTCAAGGTAAGATTAGCTGTTATAATTGTGGTCAAAAGGGACACCTTAAGCGTGACTGTTGACAACAAAAGCGTGAGATGATATGTTTTAAATGTCATTAAAAAGGACTCGTTTTGTCTGGATGTTCTAAAAATAGTAACGTTAAGATTAAAGAAATTAGTATAGTTTTAAGTAGGTATACATATTAAAATAAAGAAAAATTTATATGCAAAACCAGAATTGGTTCAGCTATGTATACTACCTTATTATATTCTGGAGCATTGGTTTGCACAAATAAAAATTGTATTATTGAAAAAAAAAAGTTTTTAAGTTATAAATAATAACGTGATTCTAGTTGGTTTTGGATAGAGCAATATTAACTTACGTGGCACAGTAGAAGAATTTGTAAAACTTAAATATTTAAGGTAGTCCTGCCGTATATTGATTGACTTGCAAGATTTCGATAAAATTGAATACAAATTTAAAAAATTGGTGATCATTACACGCAGCAATATATGATATATTTTAGTAACTAAGTCAATCTCATTATAAAAGAAAGTAATAAGCAAACATTGGCTTTGAAGGCTTACTTTAAAGTGTGTGTACTTCAAAATTCCACTGAAATACTTGTTTAGAGAGAAAGTTATCAAGTTGAAGTTATGATATTTTTGTTTAAAAAAAGCGCCTAAACAAATAAATGTACTGAATACCTCTTATTATCAGCTCTTTAAATAATTATATTTTGTTTTTTTTCAGTACTCACAATTCTCAACATTTAAATAAAAGATGTTGGTATACAAAGTGAGCCATTATGTACAGCTTCACTGATAAATATATTTGTTTTCTAGTGAGAGTCCACTTCCCTACACGTTTCACTTGCTGACCTCTATGATTATTTGTCATTTCATGCTTTTTCAGGTAATAAAAGCTATTTTTAAAACAAAAATCTATTAGTGCCTGAAAACAAAGTTCTAGCAAAAAAAATGTGCCATAATATTTAACTGTTTGCATATACACTCCATAACTTTATAATTTTCCCAGATACTGATGTTTCTTCCGTAGTAGTATGAGGAGCATTTTTTAATCTCACTTGCTTCCCAATATAACGATACAATGCTTAACAATGCATTACTATTTAAGAATCTTCCACATTTTATAATATTCTCAGCATAGAACATTTTCTCTTCCTTGATAAAATTTCTATGTGATAAAAGTTCAAAATAACTTTTTAAATAAACCTACTCTTTCAAGCTTTATATAAACCTCTTACATTAAACCATACAATCAAAAAAAAGCTTTTTGGTTTAAAGAGTAGTAATTAATAGTTCTATGCAAAAGAAGAACTCATCCAAAAATTTAACGTTTAAGAAAAACGTAAGTAGTGTGAGTGGAAATTTGAAAATTAAATTATTCGCTTAAGTACTAAGCTTACAAATTTGTTATTTCATACACAGAAAAAATTTCTTGTTATAGCTAAATTCATTAAATTGTAAATGACAGTCCATAATATTGGATCTACCATTCTAAATATTAAAATTTTAATTTGAGATCTCTAGTCAGCATAGGAAAACAGCTGAAAGATCGTATTGAAAAAAAAATTTTATGAGAGAAAAATTCTGAAATACGATTATTTATTTAAACTTCCTCTCAAAAAGTTACTTAATCTTTCTAACCTCAAGTTAAAGGCTTAAGCTACCTAAAAACGTTTTAGTAATGTTAATACGTAATGAAGCATAATAAAACACAACCATGTCTTTTTTTTCCCTTGTCTTTTTTTTCCATATTTTGTGGGAAGGTAATTAGGAAAAGTGAAGGTTGATCAAAGGGCCTGAAGACGGGCAGTAAGTATTTGTGT